TTTAGCACTGAGCATCATGCTTAATTGCTGAGGACAATTTGCTTCTAGAAACCTGAAAAATGAAACATCACTGATAGATTACCATTTATGGTAGAAACCAAAAGGTTCTTGATCAGTTATGAGAAAACTCCTGACAAAAATTCAGGAGAACATTTCAAACACTGAGGGGAAAAGAACCATTATCACTATTCAGATTTCCTGTAGCAGGTTAAGTAAGGCTCTTTTCACTGAATAGGCATAAGTACAATCTAATTTCATTTAAAAACAAATCTGAAGCATTTGGCATAATTTTAAAAACTTTACTGCCATGCTATAGACAATCTATGGAACTACATAATGGAAAATTTCATAGCTCTTTTTTTTGTTTTGTTTTTTAGTATTCATGTGTAGGGATTTCTTCTAAGTTAAAATGACCACCTGTAAACAGATCTCCGTTCATATATTTGATAAAACCCCTTTCTTTCAAAAGATCAGACAAATGAAGAAAAATGATGCTGGTTACCATGGGCATTCAATTCTGAGTTAAATATTACGTCAATACAATCCTATCAGGTATTACTCCTTAACAGGCAGAGATATTAAGACTTAGAGAATGTGGAGAAACTTGTACAATGCAAGGTCACGTAGGGAGCAAGTGGTAGAGCAAAGAATCAATCACAGATCGGTCCAGCTCCAAAGTCCACGTTCGAATCTCCATGTTATACTTCCCCTGCCACAGAGATTTTCTTTTTTAGAGGAACCAATCACTGTGGAAGTAAAGCATATTTTCATTTCTATTTCTCTGGTCTGGACTAGGAGTTCCTTGTCAGTAGAGCCCATATTTTTATACAACTTTGCTTTCCCTATTCCTATTAGACCAGCAGTATCAACAAATCATTGCTAAATTTAAAGGGGACAGTGAATTCATCACCACTGTGCCTAAGGTGGCAGAATGTGGCTTATTTGGAAAAAGGATAAAATTTTTAACAAACAAGTTTGAAATGCATACATAAACTTTTCAGTGGCCAGCTTTGTGGTGTTTGTTGTGAAATGATTGGACATATAGCAATCTAGCTGAGCCACAAACAGAAAGGAGAATTGTGGCTACTATAAGATGGGATTATTTTGGAAACAGCTTTCTTTCAAGTCAATTTGTGAAGACAAAAACATTCTACAGGTAACACTCTGTATTCCTAGCCTGGTACTATTTTTTCCCCTTAGCACAGGTAGAAAAACTAAATACATAGCTTTCAAATTGGGACAATAATTTTTTTTGGTCTGTTGCCTTTGAAAAAAGATTATGAGACAAAACACAAAGAAAGACAAACATCATAAAATAACCTTTATACAGGATTAGTAGATCTGTTTACATATAAAAAACAGAAAGGACCTCATTACAATTAGATTTCACATAAATTACACAGATTGACTTTTTTAAAACTACTATTCAACTTCATTTAAAGTCCCTTTTAAAAATTTCATTTTGAAGGCACAGTGCATGAGATAAACCAAGACTGAAGCACTTGAGATGAATGAGTGTTGGGCACCTCATATGAATAGCTATAGAATTGTTCTGGAGCCTGGGAATGTCACTCTGGAAAAACAAAGAGGCGAAAAGTTGATTTTTACTCTGAGCATAAAAAAAATACCATTATGTCATACCTCCAGAAAATCTGCAGCATGGCCAGCATAGAGTGTAGCTAGTGCACTCATGTTACACCATTTATAAAAGTCATAATCATACATATTTGCATAATTCATATCCAATTGCCTTAAGATGGTAGCCTATTTTCAATTTCATAATATGTTCTGTCTAATCAAAATCAACTAGGACAATATTCTGAAAATCAAATGGAATATTAATTAATCAATGCTAAAAATTGGAGAAATGGGTGTTGGGAGATATTTCTTCATGAACTGTAAATCCAAGTTTAGTTGACATTAATCAAGGGCCCTAACCACCCCCAAAGAATCTGCTTTAGTTAAAACAAATCAGAAACTCAAAGAGCTACCAAAAAGTTTCTAGATAGAAAATCACTGAACATCAACCACAGTCGAATTTTTTGTAGTAACAATAAAGTTGCTATTGTTAAAAACAATTCTATCAGAGAACCATAAGGCAGGGCACCATGACAGCATTCATAGCCAAGAAGCTTTTAATACAGCAGGGACAAAACCTAGCACAAGTGCATTTCTGGCAACAAGACGAGAAAACTATTTACTATTGAGAATAAATGGATATAGGGGAGCAAGTCATGGTTACTGAGTAACCTGGTATTAGCTCAGAAACACAATAAGCTGAGGCATACGACTACCTTTTATTTATTTGTCAACTCATAATTAGTTTTAAGTTCAATATTCATTAATTCAGCAAATGCCGTCCAGGTGAAAGTTACCAAAGATTAACCAATCAATCATACTGGGCCGAATATACATTATGTTTCCTTTCTGGAGGATGACAAAGTCCCAAAGCAAATTCCCTCCAATGAAAATTGCAAGCATTCCTCAACTGGATGGAATCCCAAACACTATGCAAGTGTTCAGTGAAATACAGCAAAACCAAAAGGTCTCTCCTTCTGAAATTAACTTGAGTTCATCTTATGGAACTGCATTAACCGTACATTAACAAGTACATTTACACAGGCAGACACTTTGAACATTACCTACTCAATCACTTTGCCTTTATTAAGGAGCTGGGAGGGAAGAAGGCTTACAAACTGATCACCAGGACAAAAAACATGCCTTGTGAGGAAAGAAAGGCACAACTCAGATTTGGGCAAATTCCTTAATACTGTGATACTTACTTGCCTCCATGACTCCAGGGAAATGGAAAGTCTCTAGGAGAAACACTGAAGAAATGCATTCCCTGTCCCCTATGGCTTCAATGCCTTAAGCAGTTAATGTGGTCTAAGATTAGATCCACAAATAAAAAACAAAGCAGGGCTGAGAACACAATCTTAGTAGTCATGATCCTATACATTCATGTTCATAGGTAACACAGGCTGAGAAGGTCTTATTTTCCAGAGCAATGCATTATTTAGAAATTCATTAAAGATTCAAGATTTATAGCAGAATTTGGTTTTACTTTCAGGAAAAATTACTAAAAGAACTATTTGTATGTTCATTTCTAAAAAATTTTTATACATGCTTAAAAGGCATGGACTCCAGCCACTGTGATGTACAGTTAAAGATATGTTTAACTCAACAGAGAAATGAATTTAAAAGGCACCCTCTACTGAAGACCAATGCTAAAAAAGTAAAGGCTGTCATATCAACTTCGTTTCATTTCCACCTGCAATGTCCCAACCAGGGCCAGCCACTCATAGGCCCTTGTTGGTTTTCTGACTTTGCGCTCTTAAAAGTAAAGCTCAGAAGAGCAATGCCACCACATCATCCCCTTAAAGAAAATGTAAAGTATTATTAGAAGAAGTTAAATCACATATATTTCATGAAGCATTAGCTGTTCTGTGTATGCGGTCAGGTGAGAATGGGGTGGCAAGGGCTCAAAATTTAGAGTTGTTAATGATAGGATTAATACCAGAATGGCTTAACCTTGAACCACCCAAATTTATCGCAGATACTAACAAATATCATGACCTCATTATTCCTGCTTAGCCAAATCTCTTTTTATAAAGCCACTTCGGGTGCATTCCTCACAAAACGTGGAATGACCTACATGGGTGGTAAACCACTCCAGAGGAAGGCTTTGGGATGACTGATACATTAATGGATATAAAATACAATTTGAAAAGATGAGAGCAAGTTTTTTGATCCCCTGATTTAGTACAAACTCAGCAGCAAGTTGGCCACTAAAAACATTCAAAGGTATTAAACCATTAGATCATTGGTAAGACTCATACTTAAAAAAAGCATCAATTCCATTGAATAGCATGATATGACAGACACAATAAAATGCAAATCTTTCAGGTCTTTGCAATAACCTGAGTGGCAGTGAAGATGATACTTTCTCACCACAGCGTTATAGCACACGGCAATCCACAGTTTACATTTTCTTTTAATGGAGGGAGCCATATTTAAATGCTTTCAATTGAACTTTTAACAAAATTGGTTGATCAAAAAGAGACTGCCAAATGAAACATTAGGACAAAGAACCCAATCACTTGCAGAGACCTATATGAATAAGACTGGCCAAGCTATTTCAGAAACAGTAGGATATCCGTAGGCTTGAACTGGAGCATGAACTGTAGTTATTTTGTGTTCAAATGTAGGTTAAGGACGTGCAAGTAGGTCTCTTCCACACTTCCAGATATTTTCAGTAGAATTCAGATCTTGTACATTGCCGGGTCATCTGAAAGCCATAAGTGTACAACACAGAAAAAGTTTCAAATTTAGGAAATATTAAAGAATTAGGCATTCCTAGAATAATCTAGTGCTTCACAGATAAAAAGCAGCAGCACCTGTGGGATTTTACCAAGTTAAAAGATATGCCGCACGAGTTTTAGCTTTTGGTAGATCTCCCTCTCAGTTCTATTCAAATGGACATTTAGATCTTTTACAACAAAGTCAACAAGTTCTCCCGTAAAATGGGGGTATTAGAACTTTGCCAAACCTTATAAGAGAGGTAGTGAAGTCCTGCTTAGAGCACTGCCCACCAGTTCTGATCTAACCTTGGAACAAGTAGAAAGCCAAATGCGGAAGCCCATGTATTCATTTCCTAATGTTATATATTTAAAAATCAATTCAGCCTCCATTAAACCTGAATAATAAGAGAAACTCCAGCTGCTTAGTAACTAGAGAAAAGTACTTCTCAGTAGGTTGAGAAACCTTGAGTTTTTAAAGCTTTATGTCAGATTCTGACTGCTGTCCCTGCCTAAATGTTTCTGGATTCTTTTGGCCATTTAAAATAAAAAAAGCTAAAGCCACTAGTAAACACCTGATGTGCAAAATATAAGATCCAAGTGGCTTTATGCAGTTATAACGTAAGCTCCAAACAGCTCATCTTAAATTAAAAAGAAAAACAAAGTGGCTGTCCCATCTCTGCTGCATAAATAGAAAGCAGATTTTTTTTTTTTTTAAGGTAACAGTACTTAAAGGAGGGGAAGTTCAAAACCGCCAGCCAAATTCACAGAGAATACAAATTTAGCAAGTTAACTTCCCAAAGCTCTTTGAAGAAGCAAGAGAGTCTCTCTTCTGAATGCAGTGTCTCCCAAAAGGAACTGTAATTTTGCTGGGTACTTATGCTGGGAGATGTGCGAGGTCTGTTTCAATGTTTGCTAGAATATAAGGTTTCCTCTTCAGTGTCTGTTTCATCCTGGAACTCGTGGCTTAAGAGGGACTTCTTGGAGCCTGTTGACATCATGCGAATTTCATCTTCATACTCATCGTGATGCTGCCTGAGCCGATGAAAGCCATCCTTATGTCTGTTAGACTTGATTGAGCAGATGCACCAAATAATGCAAGCTGTTAGGATCAACGCTGACATGGTGGCACCTATGAAACAAAATTGCCACTTGAGTTGTGTTCCACTTTAAGGATATGAATAAGCTGCTTACAGTGATGCTTTTCATAATATGCCCTTTACTTCTTTTATTTTTATTTCATGCACTCAAAAACAACCGTTTATTATTACACAGGCAGTACGTGTAGAAAAATACAGATAAACGGGGCGCCTGGGTGGCTCAGTCAGTTAAGCGTCCGACTTTGGCTCAGGTCATGATCTCACAGTTTGTGGGTTTGAGCCCTGCATCGGGCTCTGAGCTGTCAGCACAGAGCCTGGAGTCTCCTTTGGATTCTGTGACTCCCTCTCTCTCTCTGCCCCTCCCCCACTCATGCTCTGTCTCTCTCTGTCTCTCAAAAAGCAAAAACATTACAAAAATTTTTAAAAAAAGAAAAAAGAGAAAAAATACAGATAAGTAAAAATACCAAAACCCCAAGCCAAAACTCCACATCACATCTCCATTAACCAGAGATGATTTTTAATAACGCTCATGAATATTTTTCCACAGCTTTCCATGTGCATGTGTGTGTAGGTGTGTGTGTGTGTGTGTGTGTGTGTGTGTGTGTGTGTGTGTATATATTAACCACAATGAAGCCAAACTATTGCTCTACAACTGGCTCTATATCAATCAGTGACTCCTGCTCCTTTCCAACAAATTTTATCTCATCCCAAACCCCCATTTATTTAAAATATTTGTACATAAGTTATCAAAATAAGAGTCTTAGTAACAGAAATAATAACAAAATCATAAAAAAAATTAAGTTCATGACAGTAAATGGGTGGCAAAGCTAGATTTAAACCATTGCTGACTCAGAGCTCCCATGTCCGTCTAACCACTAAGTTATTCACACTTTATCTGGTTCAAGCTAATAACTGTTTACTTTGAATATTCCACACTAGTATCTATGATTTGACCATATTTCCAATATACCATTCTCTATTAACTAAGACTCTCTCTGCCACACACCCTGTAATAAAACTTGGTTATTTTGTGTCAAGTCCAAATTGCACTTAGAAATGAGCCAAGGTTCTCTGTATCAAAAGGATACAATACAGAGTATTTATTATTGTACTATACTTTTTTTTTTTTTTAACTTTTTAACCTTTCAGTAATTCAAGCTATGGCACATATTAGTCCTGGAGAAAACAGGATCCACGATGTACTGTATTGTATTTTAGAGAGAGCACAAGTTGGGGAGAGGGGCAAAGGGAGAGACAGAGAGAATTTTAAGCAGGCTCCATACTCAGCACAGACCCTGATGCAGGGCTTGATCCCATGACCCCTGGATCATGATCTGAGCTGAAATCAAGAGTCGGATGCTCAACCAACTGAGCCACTCAGGTGCTCCTCTTCCTTCTATGATCTTGAAAAAATAGAATACAAGTCAAAGTCCAAGGGACTTATGATCTTAATATAAAGCAAATCATTCATTCAGTCAATAACTCTTCATTAAGACCCACTATGTGCCAGCCATGGTTCTAGGTGCAGGAGATGTAGATAAACTCCCTGTTCTCTCTGAGGCTTTTATGTTTTAGTGGGAAAGATCGAATATAGACAAGTAAATGACTAAATATATAATATAATGTCAAATGGTGATAAGTCCTATAATAAAAAAAGTGGGGTAGAGAGAGTGACAGGGGTGCTGTCTTAGCTAGGGTGATCAGGGAAGATGTCTCTCTGGAGGTGACATTTGCGTATAGACCTGAACACGTGAAAGAGCAAGCCATGAGAACATATGGGAGAACAGTGTTCCAGAAAAATCCAAAAAAATGTTTAGATAAGGAGGTATTAGAAGAAAAGTGATTAGCTTCAGGTGATTGGGAGGCAATCCACTCTCAAGTTGAAATGTCAGAACCGGTTTTAACTTCAACTACTAAAAATTTAAATTTCTTTACCTGATACGGTTACCACAAGCTCCCTTGGCAAACCAAATATCCGGTTATCTGTGTCAAAGACTATTACCACAGAACTAGCTGCATCATGATGCACAAAGACCTAGAGGAATAAAGTGCAAGAATTACAAAAAAAAGTTCCCTTAAGGTATATTGTATCCTTGGAATATTCCTAAGGCCTTTATACCAAACCAAGGAGATGAGTCATTGTCATCACAAGTATACAAAATGCTATAAAAATTTCCCTTGTGTTGCCAAAGCCTAGAAAGATAACAAGATATCATAAGCAAGCGTTGGTTACACGTTGTGTTTCTTTATTCCTTACAAGAGTTGCAAAGAAAAATAGAAGTACTATTAAGAATAAGAATTTACATGATACTACTTAGTTTGAGTTTCTCACCTGTGAATGTTGTTGCTGATACCCATCAGCGATGGCGTTGATATTATGGACGCCTGGGGCTAACAGTACATGGAAATAGCCCCCTTCTTTTGTGTGTACCTTTATTCCTTCATTGAGTACAATGACTGCTTTAGAAATTGGTTTTCCAGTCTTATCTTTAACAAAACCATGAACTCCCTTGTGGACCTGAAAAAATATTCAACATATAAATTTGTGTTTCCAGATATTTCCAGAGGCAACAGCCTGAGGCATGATAAAAAACAATAAACAAATGAACAAAGCAACAGCAAAAAAACCCCATAAACCTGGCTTGTTGGTCCTTCCCCAACTGCTTCTGACCTCATTTGCTACTCATAAACTGCTTCAGAGCATAAAGATGAAATATGTGAAAAAAGAACTCTGATAACAGTCAAAGCCTAAAGTGTCGGAACACAAATCTTCTGATATCCTGAATGATTTACTTTCCAGCACAGTATACTCGCTCAAAGTAACTAATGCATGAGATTCAAATGAAAAATATGTGCAACATCACACAGGGTTAAATTATCTAAATTACAGCAGATTCCAGATATGTGAAGTCACGGCACTGACCTAGGTGATATAAATTCAACAAAACTCTTTCCATACATATTTTTAAAATAAATAATAAAATTTTTAGTAAAAAATTAAGAACATGTTTTGATGAAGATTTTCATTGAACATATTCCTGGGAGCTTGCTTCTAGTTAAAAAGGGAAAGGCTCACCTCCACCAACATGCTAAGAAGAGATTTTTTATTTTCTGCCCACAAGGAAGGGAGTTGTGCTGCACTGGGAAAGTAGCAGCAGCTCGTGTACACTGTGATTTCCGGACAGTGGCCATAGGTGACACTATAATCCTGGAATATAAAATTCAAAAACGAATGTAGAAAAATTAACACATACAAGTAGGAGTGAGGCTTCGTAATGCAACAAATGAATAGAAAGAAAACCTGGGTGATGTAAGCAAAGAATCTGTAAAGCATTTTCTAGCAAATAAACTGCTCAGTATTATAATCAGTCACAAACATGGCTGTTGCTAAGAGAGTCCTTGAGACTAGGGACTAATTCACTTTTGTATCTCCAGTGTTTGCCACAGTGCCTGGCAGGTAGAGGAGGTTGACTAGGGTTTGCTGAATACAACCCTATAAATAAGTGCATGCAGACGGCCAGCTTTCCTCTCAACTCTGGAATGTCAGCCGTTCTCAGAGCTCTGGAGGTAGAAGCACAAGCACTCACCCTCTGGTACCTTCCACTGCTGGTGACGGCAGCCACTGTTTACAGAATAGCAATTATCCAGCACAGGAACTGCTGCTGTGGACAGGTTCCCAAACCTAACTTACCACCTTTCCCCCCAAACCTGTTTTTTTTCCTTATTCAGTTAATGGTATGAACTCATGTCCTCACGCAGACATGAAATCTCTTGTCTTAGACTTCGGTTTCTTGCCATCATCCATAATTTGCCAAATCCTGTCAATTCCACCTCTGCAATATCTCTGAGACTTCATCCTGTGGCTCCATTCCCATCGTCACCACCCTAACCCAGACCCTCATTTTTGTTTGTCTAGGAAATTCTACACTAGTCTCCCCACGCCACTCTCTCCTTCCTCCAAACTATCTCAACCCACTACAGAGATTAATTGTTCCATAGCACAGTTCCAATCATGTTACTATATGCCTGCTCAAAACCTTCAGTGGCTTCCCATTCCTTACTAAAACAAAGTGTTCAAAGCCCCAAACTCTCTTTCCATTCTTGTCTTCTGCTGCTCTCTGTTACAGCTCTTGTTCTAACTAAACTAGACTGCTTATTGACCTCTGCCCATATTGCTTTCTCTTTCTAGAATGTTCTGCTGCACCATCTCTGCATCCCAAATGCCATTTTCTCTAAGAGAAGACTACATCTCTGATTAGGTGTAATCTTTTCTGTCTTTAATTTCTTATGGCACATTGAGAGTTGCTCTCTTCTAGATCAAATCAATTAATTATGTAAAATAGTTATTTGTACAATGGGACAGGAAATATATTTCATTTATCACTAGTATAGCAAAGTACCTCATACATAGTAAGTTCTTAGTAAATAAAGGAGGGAAGGCAGGCAGAGATGAGAATGAAGTCAAATTTCTAGTTGCACATGTTAATGAAATGATGAACTAATCACCCATCTAACAACTCCTTACTAATCTGAAGTGGATGGACAACCAATTAAAATGCTATCAAAAAGAAATTAAAGAAGACCTAAGTAAATGGAAAGACATAACTGCATTCATGAATAGAAAGTCAATACTATTGAGATGTTAATATAACCCAAAGTGATCTACAGATTCAACACAACCCTTAACAAAATTCCAACAGCATTTTTTGATAAGAAAGAAGGAAAGAAGGAAGGAAGGAAAGAAGGAAGGAAGGAAGGAAGGAAGGAAGGAAGGAAGGAAGGAAGGAAGGAAGGAAGGAAGGAAAGAAAGAAAGAAAAAGCAAAGCCAATCTTCAATTCAATTCAAATGTAATTGCAAGGCACCTTGAATAGCCAAAAACAATCTTGAAAAAGGAAAAAGTTGGAGTACTCACACTTTTTAATTTCAAAACTTACTACAAAGCTACAGCGCTCTGAACAGTGATACTGGGGGAATAGACATAAAGACCAGTGAAACAGAATTCAGAGTCCAGAAATAAACACATACATCTATGGTCAACTGATTTTTGACAAGGGTGCCAAGACCATTCAAAGGGAAAGAACAATCTTTAAAACAAATGGTGCTTGAACAATTAGATTTCCACATGCAAAAAAATGAAGTTGAAATCCTACTTCCTATCATATACAAAAATCAACTTAAGATGTATCGATGACCT